TGTTAATGCGATATTTATTTTATTTAATCTTACCAAATCCAAAATACGTTTCAGTTTTAAATTTTGAATCTATCTTCTATATTTATAAGTCTACCATTCGTCCTTGCTTTGAATATTGCAACCGCATCTGGTCTAGTGCCCCTGCTATATATTTAGAAATTCTTGATAAAATCCAATGAAAAATAAACATATTATTGGTCCTGACTTGGCATCTCGGCTTCAGACATTTTCTGACCACCGTAATTTAGCCATTTTGTATAAATACTTTCATGGTAATTGTTTAGATGGGCTTTCGTTATTAGAGTTTCATTTTTAAATATTATTATATTTATTCCCCACCCAAAGCAGACAAATTGTACATATGGAAACTATATAGGACTTCATGGGAGACTTTAAATATTATGGTGAATATATTAAGAATGGTAAATAAAAATGTGTTGTTTCGGTGTAAGGAATACTGTGGTATATTTGGGTCAGTAATTGTGGTTAGCTAAGTTAAAGATTAAACAGATTGAAGACCAGCCACCCCACCGCCTCTCTTTCTTTTGGTTTTGTGCCACATATTACTTTCTGTTACGTACACTTTATAATGTTAAGCGCAGTACTAGATTGGCGGCAAGGTCTCATGATTTTACAGCGGAAATCTCTAGATATAACCGTTAGATCTATGCTAACAGTTTATTTTCACGCACTTCTCGCTTGTGGAAATCTTGTACGGCTTCTTGCTTTCTTGTTAACTTTGATCTTCAAAATTTTAAATGCAATATCGATCTTTATCTTCTGTCTTCTTAATTATCGTTTTTTATTGTCTTCTCTCTTTAATAGCATATTTTCTCATATTCTATAACACTCAATAACCCGTTGCGTCTTAGTCGATTTATTGCCTTGTTTGGGGTGAAATGATTAAAATATATATATATATATATATATATATATATATATATATATATATATATATATATCCCACAAATGTTTGGTAAGTAGCAAAAAACAAAATCAAATCGACCAAACATCGCATAAAATAGTGGGAGGAGTAACTGGCTATCAACATTCCTTACCTCCAATATAGTAATTTTTTTTTTTCGCAGAGTAAACACGTACTTTTCTCCATTTATGATGAACTGTTGTAATCTCAATGAGGCTCCTTGGCTAAAAATCTATTGGGACTGAAGTTTACTACAGACTTCAAGTGAAGGAGGAAATGTTGCTCTGTGTTAAGATAGTGGCTGATGAAAGACCCTATGTCTGTCAACAGGACTATGCGACACAAGTAGGAGAACCAAGTCTTGGCTCTCAGACAATTTCTACGATCACATCATTCCTTACATCTGGCCACCTACCTCCCACGCAGCACCCGCTTGATTATTATGTGAAGGACGCTGATGTGACAGAGATCAACAAAATTCCTTGTAACAGAAAAAAAATCAACTGAAGGCAGATGTCATGGCAGCATTCCCCAATTTAAACAAGGAGACCGTCCAGAAAAGATTCAGGAGATACCGGAGTTGTTCGGATGCCGTGGTTGAAGCCAATTTATTGAATAAATTTAATCTTTTAGAATTTTAAAGATATTTTTATGATTCTGGTAAATATATCTGTTAAAATGAGATGTTAGTGTTATTTTCATTTTTGTGTCATTTAGGCGACAATTTATTCATCGTCCTCTGAAAATAAGGTCCATCAATAAAGATAACGAAAAAAAAAGAAAGGTCGGTACCATTATAGAAAGAACATGGATCATTTTGTCATGTTCTAACTTTATAAGAGACAAATCAGACTATAAATGTGTTATTGCTGTAGCATCTGAACTGGAGTTGTCCAAACCCCAACTCCCAGCCATGATAGAATTTTAAAAAATCCTTTACCTCACACTGTTAATGATGAATGATATACCAACTTAGGAACCCATTTCCATAGATCAGTGTTTCCAAACGTGTGCGCCATAGCGTCACGTCGAGGGCTCTGTTATGCCAAAAGTGGGCACCGGGATGTTTTATTTCATTTGGGAGACGGTGAACATACTCAGGGAGGCTGGTAGGTATTTATCCATTTTTTTTTTTTTACCAAATTTTCAAAAATTATTCAATATTGGCGATGAAAAGAAATTTCTGAAAGGTAACTAAAAGCTGTGGAAAGTTATCAAACTTTTCTTACTTTCTTTTTTAACTTCCTATATAGATGGATGTGGTTTCAACGCACTTCTACAGCTTCTTACTAAACAAAGAAACCACCTGTAAATTACAAAACGAAAATCTACGATTACTTGTAAGCAGTATGGAATATTGAGTAAGAGCCTTAGAAAGTAAGCATCAAAGTCTGCATTGATAGATTGAGATAAGTTATGAAATAATTTTTTTGGCATTTTAATAATTAACATTTATAATAGAAATGAAAACAATATTGAAATTGTTTTTGCACTACTATCTAAGTTATGGATGGGCAAACTATGACCCGCGTGTCACATGTGGCCCGACAAAAGAATTCATGCGGTCCGCCAAAT